TGATTGCATCGTCCGGAGGTGACGTAATAGGCATATTGATGCCAATGGTGTGGACGTATGCGGTGCATGCATCATACTGAGTGGATGAGATGCACAATTGTCTCAACTTCTTACAGCCATTCCACATGTTCTGACATCGCCAGTCATTAGGGTCTTGCTTGAAGATATCCAGGTGGGTACTGCTTCATCGTCTTCTGGCTGAACTAGCGGATCCTGGATGACTACTGGTTGAACGTCCTTATTGAATGGCAGGTCTTGGATTCTGACTGCAAGACTGCTGCTGGTCATGTTGAACTCCTTGTCAATGGCTTCCATCTCCTTTCTCAGGATATCAACCTGCTTGATGGTGAATGGTTCAAAAAGGTCCTCCAAGAGGTACACCTCATTGTCAAGCGGTTTCACCTGCAAGTGTCGTAGGACGATGTGCGCGAGATTCTGACAGAACTGGTAAGGATACACCTGTGCCAGTTTGGTCCTGCTTCCGAAGGTACCAGCGTTTCCCTCTAGGGGTTGGTGCTCATGCTTGACTGAGCTGGAAAAATTTTTACACCTTCTGAAGATCGGTCTCATAACCTTGGAAGGTAAACAGTGCATCAAGCTCGTGGGCTTGAGACTTCTGAGCCCGGATTCAGGATCTTTAAGTCCGTATGCACAGAAATGGAAATCTCCCCAGGTCACGGATGGATCTGAAAACAATTGTTTGCATGCGTTTCAGATACCATATCCTGGATGTCTGAGGATTTTCGATGATGAAGTATCTTCTGTGCTTCAACTGATATCGCGCAATGGCTTTTCCCCAACCTTTTGTTGGTCTTGTTGGATGTTCTGCATATTTGACCATGGTCCACAGACCGGTCAGGTGCTTGTTCCCTGATGATCTCCATGACCATGTGTCGTCCCTTGGATTTCATTACATCGAATCCTGTGCGGATGTCTACGGGAGCCCCAACCTTAAGACCTTATAGTGCACAGCATTGACTGAATCTGGCACTTCCTGCAAAGATCTCGAGAACGTGGATCTTTCCCTTACGTACACAATTCCAATGCGCTTGTTCAGGAATGGATGTGAGGTCCTCGACGAACATGTTCTCTGCTGGATGAGGTACTGCAGGTTTTGGAGTTGTTTTTCCCGCGATACGTAATGGCACTGAGGATCTTGGCTTCGGAGCTGGTGCGGATGATTCCTTTTTCTTGGAATCTGCAGAGGAGCCTGGTTGCTCCTTCTGCAAGGATTCTCGCTCTTCTGGTAATAGTAGATCAATTCCGGGTTTTTCTGGAGGGATGGTCTCATCCTTCCTGAGCTTCGTCATGTTGACCTTGATGAGTCGAGTCCCAAGATCAAGTCCTACCATCGCTCCTTCAATGGAAATGACCTTTCCTTTTAGCCATATTCCTCCCTTGCTTCCATCGGAACGGATCTTGGATTTGTCTTCCTGCCAGTAGAATATCTTGTCCTTCACCTGAAGAGGCTTTGAACTCATTCGGAGATTTTGAGCAAGGTCTCGTCGGATGTCTTCGGATTGACGTGTTTCTTGGAAAGCTTGCTTTGACAGCTGCTTGATCTGGATGGCTGTCAGCTCTTCTTCATTCCTGTCAATCGTCAACTGAGTTGGTGTTGCGACATCGAGTTGGATGAGATCTGCTGGTCGTCTTCCGAATGCGAGCTCCAATGGTGTTACACCCCCGTAGGTGACAGTCTGATTCCTGACAGTTGCAGCGGCCTTCACTAGCTGCCTATATGTCACTTTCTTCAGTGTCGCAGGTGCTGTACCTGCTTTGCTGGAACTTAGCATGATCTTGAGTTGTGCCTTCAGGAGTCGAACTGCTGCTTCAGCTCGATTTGGCCATGGTGTATTCGGTCCCAAGGATATCGGTGTGATGTCAAGGGACTGATAGAAATGTTCCCATGTGTCTGTCACGAAGGCTTGATCTGCGACAACTGATTTGGGCTGCAAGTGGTGCTGGTCAAAATAGTTCCTGAGGACAGTGATGTTCTCGGCTTCTTGCGTAGTTGTCACTGCCTCTGCAGTGAGCAATGTTCCAGGATGACGAAAACAATGATGTGTTCTCCTGTTCCAAGAGGAACTTGACAGTGATCAATGAGTGTCATGTCACCAAAGGTGTCCGCTCGAAGTCCACTTGTTTTGCTTCGTGATGGTGCATGTTTTGCCGCTTGGCAAACTTCACACTCACTTCGGATCTTGTCAAATAGATCGAATGTTGATTTTGGCAAATGAAGTGCTCGGGTTCTAAATCGAAATTGATCTGTTGTCATGTGATGATGCTGCAGGTGGAGTTTCTTCAACTCTTCGGGATTTGACAATCGCTTGTGGATTCTGCCTAGGGCAAGCGGAAGCGATGTTGGTTCTTCTGAGGATGGTGCGAAAGGATCTGGCTCAATAGTCGACCGGCCCCTCTTGTCGATGATCCTGTCTGCTGCCGATCCTGAACCTGCTTCTTCGTCCTTAAGCGAATTGTCCGCGAAGGTGAAAATGGTCTTACCTATCCACAGGTTAATCATCGGTTTATTTGCCTGGGATGTAAGTCTCCAATTGTCTTCTAGAATGTCTGGATCTCCACCTGCGGATGCATCAATGATTTCCGTAGTACGTTCTCGGCTCATGTGATCAGGATTGATTGGACATTCCTTGGCTCCATTTGGTGTGAACAGCGCCTTTCGGGGCGTGATGCGCACACGGATGAGCTGCTTGTTCTTCTTGTCAAGGATCCAATGGTCCTGCTTTTGAGACCCAATGATCTTAGGAGTTGCTAGGTCCTCCTTTGTCTCGGATGATTTTGCTGCAAAAACAGTTTCGCTCTTGGTGAGATCCCCGGAGGGAAACTTGATGCTGTTATCATCGTCATAGACATAGTTGATGAGGCCCTTGCGAGCAATTTCTCCATGCGCCTTCACTCTTGCAACTCCAGCAAGATCGGCGAGCGCATGTCCTGTACCGGATACCGGAACTGCTTGACGGTTCATGCCAAAGGCCTTGCATGTGATCTTGTCACATTGAGGTGTGTGCTCGATGGTCATGTAGAGGTTCCGCATCTGGCTGATGCTGAGAGGATCGGTACAGTTCCTTGTTCAAGGACGTCGATGTTGGCACTGCATGGAGGAGTTGTGTGATATCGAAGATGCAGGGTCCAATTTACCCTGGCGGTCTCTCGTTTGCAAAAGTGAACTTGGTCTCGGCCGGGATGTACTCATAGGAGATGATGTCCTTCATTGGTTCGATGGCCTGAGTAAAACGCTGGATTGCATGCCAGCTGCCCATAGATCTGGTACATCCATTGTCCAGAATCGCATAGGTCGGGTTGTGCTGAGGGTTGATGACAGGCGCCATCAGCTTTGTTGCCAGAAGGCTGTGATTTGTTGTGACGGACAGATTGTGTTCTGAAACTGTATCTGATTGGATCAGCTTCTCGTGGATGGCCTTTTTCCCAGGATGCTCATATGCATCATGGAATGCCATTAACGCTTGTCCTGTGCTGGATGTCTCATGGGATGAGTACCAGCACATGTTCGTTCCATGTCCATGATTGATCCCAGTCTTGGTCTGTCCAACCGGCATAGGTAGGGTCCATGGATGGTGCAGTCTGCTGGATGGCGGGCTGCTCCTCCGTCTTCTCTGCGGTGGCTGCGAACGTCTTGGATATTCCTTTCTCCTGTCCGCTCTTTCCTTTGCCACTCTCATAGGATGGATAACCTTTGTTTCCATCATAGGGATATTGGAATTTTGATTTTCCTTTCTTTCCCTTCTTTCCTTTGCCTTTCCCCAATATGCCTGGTCGTAGGGATCATAGTTTTCGTTGGCCATATTGGCCTTTCCGCCAGAACCGCTTTTTCTGAAGGGTTTAAAGCCACCTCGTTGGTGACTGCCCTTTTTGTTTCCTGATTTTCCTTTTCCTTTTCTCTTCTTGAACTTGAAGTTCCGCCCCGACACTTTTCTTGCTATGAACGCATCGTTCTCCTCAAGGACCCAGAACGTCTCTTCATCGTTGTTCGACATGAATCCTTCAAGTCCTTCTTCATCCTCAACCCAGAAGCCTTCTTCTCCTTCGTATTCACCTTGTTCGATGATGAAGAAGGTGTTGCTTCGGTTGCCTCCTTGAGGTCGGATGGATGGATCTTGGATCGATGTCCTCGTCGTGATGAAGAGTTCATGGTAGTGCGTCTTCAGCATCTCATAGGAATAGTTTTCGAGTGAGATGTTTCTCAGTGACATTGCACTTGTCAGTCTTTCTCTTTGCTGATCTGACAGCTCACTTTGTATAATGAAAAATTGTGCAATGAGATTATCCCCGAAAAAAATGCGTCCCGCTGTCTGTCCTGCATTCCTTGGATATACTGTCTGAGGACTGTCGGATCGTCCTCATTGAGCAGGGCTGGAGGCGGTGCTCGAACACCGGCTGCTTGCTGATGTCGAGCAGTTGTTCTTGCATTTGCGTCCTGTACGGACTGTCGAAGTGATGGGGACTGTGCCGTGAAAGCGGGCATCAAGTCCATCCATGCTGCCTTCAACATCATAAGAAGGATTTCGAATTTTGAGGTAAAAATGAGGAACTCTTGGTCCTGCCTTCTATGGTTGAAGAAACTGAGGAGCCTGTACAGACACACGTTGGTCGCACCTTTCAAAAAGTGGAAATAGTTGACTCCTCAAGGTTTGCTTGAGTTTCTGGTGTTGCTGGCTAGCTAGCTAGCTCGCTTGCTTGCTTGCTACTTTGCTTGCTTGCTTGCTTGCTTGCTGGCGTGTTTGCTTGTTGGCCATTTGTCAGCCTTCCGCTTCGAGCGCAATTCTCGCAGTCGTGGCAAACGGTGGGGAGGCTAACGCGCAAGTTGCTGGAATGAGTGTCGTTTCTGCGGTGATTCACTAGAAGGCCTTCGCCTGACCTTGTTGTGCTTGGAACACGCAAGGTTCCCACAAGCGTTGGGTCCCTTTTCCCCCGCTTGCACTCCCCTCTCCCCCCCCTCCCCGCACCCCTCCCACCGCCCCCGCCTGGCACGTCCAGCCTTATCCCTCTCCAGGGACTCCACGATGCCGAACCACCAGCCGAAAGGACTGCCCTGCTGCATCTTCCACTGGAGCTCCACGCCCTGTCCAGCCTTCACATCCGGAACTCCTGCCAGCACCTTGGCAACCAAAAAGTACCCCAAAACCCAGCCCTGCCACCCTTAGTGCAAGGGAACCAGAGTGCAAGCCGAAAATGGCCTACAATTGCTTACAATTCAATGCAAAGCAAATGAATGCAGTGCCCTTGACCTTCCGTGTGCCAAACGCAGTTTCATTGACCAGCTACATGTCGATTGCAGCAACCTCACTTGTGGGCGCGCACCCGGGAATTTTTGAACCCGAAAACGCACACCAAACCTGGCTCGAAGAACCCGTCCGTGCAGCCTTATGCCACCAAGATGCGCGGTACCCATACCTCAGTCCAGCTACTCGGTCAAGTTTGGCCCACACGAACAGTAGTAACTGCACTAGCTTAAAACACTGCATACAATACCAAAGCTGGCTGCTGAGGCTAGACAAACAAGTTGATCCACAAGCAAGTGGCTGTCCATACCTGGTGGCATTTCAAAGAACCCGACATGTCAGCGATGGAAACAAACAATCTAAGGCCCGATCCGATCGAACGCGAAAACCCTTTGAATGAAGAGGCTGCACACGCTCTGCTCTTCTAGGGTGCTGAATGGAGCTATCTATGAATGCGAACCAAACCGCAATTTTGAGAAGGCTTTCCTCCGCCCATCTTCCCCAAGACCATGGTTCCATTAATTAGGTTAGCAAGGGCAGTCAAACTCAAGGTGTCATTCTTTAATCCCTTTTTGGTGTCTTGCCAAGGAAACCAAAAGGAAAACCGAAGCAATTTCAGGGGTCTCATGCAAAAAGGGGCCCAAACTTTCCGGCTCTCCTTTCTACCCCACACCATCCCCCTCCCCCCATCATCCCCCCCCCCCCATCATCCCCCCTTTTCCCCCCCCCAAAAAAAAATAAGCTCATGTGATACAGCATGCGGTGCTCTTCTTGGCGATCGCACTACGCCAGCCCTCACAGAACCTCGTGGAACCCTCGTGGAACCCTGGTGGAACCCTGGTGGAACCTTGGTGCAACCCTCGTGGAACCTTACCTCAGGGCCGCCCCGGACCACCCCGCGCGTCCGCCGACGGAACCCGACGGAACCGATTTCGCGACGGGCCCCGACTTAGCCCCGGCGCACGTCCGGCGCCTGCGGCGGGCGCAGCTCCGGGCGTAGCTGCCGGCGCACCGAGGGCGGGCAGAAGCGCAGGCGGTAGGTCTCGAGGTAGGAGATCCGCTCGGGCAGCACCTGGCGCCGTCGGAAAATCGGCGGTCTTTGTTTGACGGTTTGGGGCTGGGGCCAAGAAACATCTCCTCAATATCTTAGCAGTTCAGTGGATTTGGAGTTCAACCACTAAACCACAGGGCAGCACCTGGCCATAATCCCAGAACCATGTTTCCAGTTTTCAGAAGGCGGATATCCGCAGCTATTTATGGCAAGGGGATCGTGCCTTACTAACCTTCATCTACCCAGGTTTTGATTGTGGCTCACCTGGCCATTGGAATGGGCGGTTCGTTGACCATGGGTTTGGGGAGGGAAAAAACTTATCAAGTTTTAAGTAGTGAGAGTGGGTTTGGAGTTCAACCACAATCAAATATAAATATTTATACATTTATTTATTTATTTATTTACTTATTTATTTTATTTAAAAACAAAAAATGTCCCAACAACAACCATGTAATTACCTGTTTCGTGGACTTGGCTCCTGTTTCTGGATGGCGTTGGTGCCTGCTTTTGATGGGGGTTTTACACGGGAAACCACAAGGAAAAACAAAATCCAGATCCCCTCCCCCAAAACAAAAGCGAGGTTCTCCTTCTGCTTTGGCATGGTCAAAAAAAGAACCCGGAAAAGACAATGTGGTGCTTTCCTTTTGGCTTCCCTCTACACTTACGCCTGAAAGTTGGTCTTCTCAAAGAATACACACACAGGATTTCTTCGAAGGGACCCCATGCAGGTGGTTGGCTCCCTTTTGTCACACCCCAAAAAGAAGGCGCGGCCTCTCCTTTTGACAAGGGAAAAACATGTCGGGCTCGTCGCAACACTTGCGGAACAAGCTGATATCATCCGAATTGGTTTGGTGCCTTTCGAAAGTGGCTCGAAAATGCCCGGCATGATTGGCTGACGCTCTTGCCTGGCTTGCACTGACGTAGCTGGCGATGTAGGAATTGGTGCGCGAGTCCCATATGACCTGCTGCAAAGCAAAAACCTTTTGAAAGAAGAGTGAAACCAATTCCCGCCTTGGCCAGCATGCAGGACATGGCAAATCCGAGCTTCTTTTCTCTGTCATATACCTCTCAGGTTGCACACGGCGTCCAAAAAAAAAACGGTGCGTCGCCCGTGCCTCCAGGAGTGCTTCGTGCCTTCCCGCATCGGTATGCTGATACCTCGTTTTGTTTGCAGAGCCTTGCGGCTGCCACACACCACTTAATTGGGACCCCACTAAAATTCATAGCCAGCTCAAGCATCCTGATGTTGCATCCCAACTGACATTGCCAAGTCACATTGATTTCCAATCAACCGGTTGACGGCTCAGCTCTGAATGGTACACCTGCGCCTCGTGGAACGCACGCCATCTCTCCGCATACATGCGCTCCCATTGCCGGTTGCACAGCGTGGTCCCGCTGTAGTTCAGCGACTTGGACGTCAAGGACGAGAGGCTGGCCACATCCGACGGTTGCTCAAGGAAGCTGAGGATGTGGCCCATGATCGGCAGAGCCAGCACCGTCTGCGCCGCGTCCCCGGAAGTGGCGGGAGGTTGACGGAACAGGAACTCCCGGAAGGAGTCGCTGCCGCACAAATCCGATGTGAGGACTTCGTCCAGCCAGGTCTGCAAGCAAGATCGCGTGTCCCGCATATAGCACGTCCACTTCCAAGGCTGCAGGTTCACATACTCCAGCGGCTGGGCAAAGGCCGCTGACGCTGTCCAGTCCTTTTCTTCCTCCAAACCATGGCGTAGGTCTTCAAAATCACCCCTGGACCGAATGCCTTGCCAGAAGCCGCAACCGGGCAGGCCATGCATCTGGACCACGAAGTTATCCTGATACGTCCGCCACGCCTCCTCGGGCACCAACACCTGGCCGCGAATCTGTCCGCACGGTTTTTGCTTCGACTCGATCGAGATGTCGTTGCCGTGCTTGCCATCCAGGCACGCATCCTGATCTTGCAGGCTGCCAGTGGCGCCCATGGCGGGAAAATTCCGCAGTGTACCTTTGGGACGCTGCCAAAAAAATGACTCGAGCCAAAGCAGCCATGCTTTCCTCCAACTCGGTTGCGCCATTATTTGCTACAGGCACTACACGCAATGGACCCTGCCCGTACAGTCTGCTCTAACAAGCTGCAACAATCAAGCTTCTGCCCCCCCCCTGTGCGCAGGCCCTCGTTTTTGCTAGAACCTCGCTTGCGTTGTGTGGCAACTGGCTGATGTTGAAAACGCAATTGGCAATGACTATCACTGACTGAGGAAAGGGACATTGCGCGAGTTGCATTTGCGTTTGTTGTCTTCCACCACGAGGGGAAAAGTAGGACAAGATGTTGCATTGGTGTGTGGTCTTAATCGCCGAACGTTGAGGGCGTGCGAAACGGAGCTCGCCCTAGAAAGCCGCATTTGCGCCCTTGCTTTTCCCAAATCTTCCCCTGCTTGTGCCAAATACTCGCGGCGAAGGCCGCTATGATGTGTCGCGCTCTCTTCACACTCTTGTCTTCTCCAAATCCCTTTGTGTGAGCGGGCTGTAATTATCTCACTCCTTTTGTCCCATCTGGCCTGGCCACACCTCTGCCCAATGGTACTGGATGCAACTCTCGTTCATGATGGGCAGGACCACAACCTTACCTGCAATCACCTCAATCTGGCGCCAGGACAAGCAGCGCCCAACTGCCAGCGAAGCAAGGCACCGCCAGCATGGCCGGCAAGGCTGGGTCCTGCAAAGCGTAAACAGGCTCCCCGTGTTCCCCCCCACCCCGTTCCGACGTGCGCCACGCCATGCCATTGTTGTCCTACCACAAGTAGCGCGAGGCCTGGCCATAAATCTAGCCACACGTACGGCAGCGGAGTGAGGTGCTCGCGCAACGCAAGCTGGGCGGTGATCAAAATCAATAAGCCAAATTGCGATGATATCATTTGGTGCTTCCGCGTGCTTCCGCGCGCTTCCGCGCTGCGGATGTTTGTTTCCGCGCTCTCATTTCCCTTCCGCGCCTTCCGCGGCTTGCGGCTTTTTCTTGCCAAGCCAACACAACTAGATATTGAGCTTATTTTCCACCACCCGTTTCTTTCGTGAAAAGCGTCTCTCTCCAATACATCCGGCAAAATGCAGGTGAGATCCTGGTTTGTGCGACAGTGAGGCTGAAGAACATCGCGCACTTCCTTCACCAAGGCCCGACGAGAAGATGAGGCCAGATAGGCCCATGGCTTTGGATTTGGCGGCATAGCTGGTGATATTAAAGGCTTGGACGCTAGAAACCGGTAAGTAAAACAGCCTGCTGGGGAAGCCCTGAAGAGATTGCGAGCCTGCGGCTACGAATCCCGTACCGGGCCAACGAAAACAACACATCGCACGCAAGTCATCCAAATCACGGAACCCTTCCGCGATCCTTCCGCGCCCTTCCTCCAGTCTTCCGCGAATTCAGCCCAACATCAACTTCCACGCAAGGGTTCAAAAACGATTTGTTTAGCCCGGGATTCAAAAACGATTTGTTGGGCCCAAACAAACCGTTTTTAGGCCCGGGAGCAAAAACTAATTGTTGGGGGTTCCAAAACGATTTGTTTGGCCGGAGAGAAAATCGAGCCACCACAATGTGTTCGAGAACAAAAACGCGTTGTTTGTTTTTTATTCGCGTCCGATCCTGTTCGCCTTGCCCGGTTGCCCCGCACGAATGCATGCGATCCAATCGGTAAGCTTGGGCCAGTAGCCGCTTTCGTTGTACAATTTGAGCAAGGCGTGGGGAAAACACATATCGGGCAACGGGCACATCCTTAGTCCAGGGACGTGTGTGTGTCTGCCCTGGCGTCGGCGCAAAAAATGCGCACCAAACGCCGTTGGGAAAAATGACGACGTGTATGGATTTTTGCCCGTGTCCGCAACTCATTATCTTTCTGGCCACCACAAGAACTTGCACATCGGAAAAAAACACACTGCGTAGGATGAGCAAAATGTCTTCAATGGTCTCGTTGCCTGGTCCAGCAACGGCGCGCGATAAATTCCACACGGAAGGGGTGGATAACAGGCAAAAAATCGAAGAGTCCCTGGATAGATCGAAGTCTTGGCCAGGCAACGGCAAGACAAGGGTTGTATCTACCGCACGCGTGCGGACGGACATCCTGGCTTTGGATGTTGTTTCCGCCCTCGTCTTGCAGCAGCAGCAGCTCTCGCCGTGTGTGGCCCTCACCGTGTTGGCTTGAACTCGCCCAGCCCCACGCTCTCCCTGACAGGTCCGGCAGGGTTATTCTTCCTCCAGGACGCCCTGCGTGGCAGGATGGTGCGCCAACGCCTCATACTGCCGACCCAGACGCTGCGGCACTGCGAGCACGTCGCCCGGCGAAGTGTTGGCTCGCTGCGCAGCTATTGTCGCTCGGCACGCCGGAAACCCTGCGGGGGCTTCGACCACGACATCTCCCAGCCAAGCGTGGCCCGGCGGCGGACTTGACTACGAAATTTGCGCAGCGGAAGGGCGCGGAAGGGGAACATTTTTGGAGCGTCAAGAGCGTGCAGAAATCTTGTCCCAGGGAACCCTCAAGCCCCCCCACCCGAAACGGCCGCCGAGAAAGGCGAACGAAGCGCGCGCGCGCTGATGTGGCGACTAGCCGCGCAAAGGCAGAAGGCTGGGCCCGGACGGGCCAGCCAAAGCAAGGACATCGGCGAGGTCGGGCTCTCCTTGCGCAGCCGGCCGTGCGGGGGGAAGCCAACGTCCTCCGGGCGGCGCTGAGCAGCGCCCACCACCTGCGGCGCCAACCCGCCTCAGCCGCGCGGCGGACAGCTGGAGGCGCGCGGAGTGCCCGGAGGCGCACCAAGCGATCAACTAAGCCGCACGCCTCGGGGCCCCACCGCCCGCCCGTTTCACAAGCAAGAACGACCACTCGCTGCGGGCCAGGCCGGCAAAGCTCCGGGTACCGCGCCTCCTTGCGGCGCCGCGCTACCGCAATGGCTGCGCCGTCCTCCTCGGCCGCGCGTGGCTGCGGTCGGCCGTCGCGACGGAGCGGAGCAACGAGCGTGGCGTCGCAGCACAGCGCTTCGCCCAAGCGCGTGGCGCCGTAAAGAACAAGATCCAGGCGGCGCCTGTCCTGCGCACTGACGCCTGGCGCAGAAGTGTTGGCCAACCACTGCTGAGGGACAACCCTGCCCTCGGGTCCCAGACCTTCGCGCGCGACGCGGACCCACGCTTGTTCAAGTCGCCCAAGACATCGAGCGCGGCGCCGCACCCCAGGAACCCATCGCCTCCGCAATACCGGTGCGTGAGGGGCAGCGCGAGGCGCAGGCGCCTGCGCAAGGCGACATGCATGTGCGCCGGGGGCAGCGTGGTGCCCGGGTCAGTCGGCACAGCCGCAAGCCAAGCCCCCGCATGCGGGCCAGACTGCAAGGGGAGACAAGCGCGGTCGCTCGGCCGCATGTGTGGCAGAAGCTCGGTCTCGCGAAAATGGGAGTTGAGTGCGCGAGACGCGAGAAGCTGCCAACCATGCGGCCAATCGCCTGGTTCACTGTCATCCGCTACAGCGGGAGGGGCCGCGCGCGCAAGGATGTCCTGCCAGGACGGACGCTCGGGCCAGTGGCGCCGGAGCAGGTCGCCAGCGACGGCCGCCTCGCGAAGGCAAGGGGCGGCAGCTTCGTCGTCTACGAGGAGCTCCCGCACACATCGCTCCGCCGCATCAGGGCGACGCTGGAGCATGACCGGCAAGGAATCGGCCCAGCGCCCAGTGGGCGGCAGGCGCAGCGCGTGTGGCACACAAGAAACCAAGGCCGCCCTCGCGCGCTGGAAGAAAAGCAAGGCGGCGGGCCTCCGGCCAAGCGGCGCCGCGCTCGCCGAGGAGCGCTTGCAGTGTGCCCCAGACCGCATGGTCATGTGCTTCCGCGTATGCCGCCGATTGGGAAGGCGGCACGGTGCGGAGCAAGTGTTGCGCCCGAGGCGCGGCGCAAAAGAGGAGCAGCAGCCAGGCACACTGCAAGTCAGGCAGCTGTGGCAGCTCCGCCAGCAAGCCCTGCTCCTGCTCTAGGCGCTCCCTCGCGCACGCGGCAACGTACTCCGGGGCGCCGATGGGCGTGCCCAAGACAACAAACCCACGCTCGGGCAACGGTTTGTCGCCACGCCACGCCTCAGGGCCGATCTCCGAAATGCCCGGCGGAGCGGCGCCCCCGGCGCGATCCCGGCCGGAGCTGCTGGGAAGCCGCCACCAGCGCCGCGTGCTGCGCAAGGGCAAACAGGGCGGGAGCCAACGCGTCGCCCTGCTCACAGCCATCGCCCTGTAGGATGCGGTGGCAGGCGCCGGCACCGTCCCACCACAAGTACACCGATTGCCGCGCATAGATTGCGCGGACAAAGGGTACAAGCGAAGGCGTCACTTCCGCGAGTTTGTCGAGGAAAGCAGCCCGGGACACCGAGTCATAAGCGCAACACCCGTCAAGAGACACGACGGTGGCTGCGGGGTCGAGCTCGGTGGCAGCGCGAAGCAAAGCGGCCAGGCAATCCATCCCAGCTCGCGCTTGCAGCGCGAACTGGTACGGCCTGGTGGCCTCATCGAAGCGGCGCGCATAGCGCCGGGCGAGCGTGCAGGCGACCAGGCGACGAAAGGTGTCGCCAGTTGCAATGCCCCTCACTCCGCCGCTGGGCTTCTGCAACGCCGTGAGGCGAGCTAGGGCGAGCGCTGCGAGTATGGGCTCTGGGACATCCGCATTGGCTAGCTTCGTTGCCGCCTCGGCAAACAGCGCAAGCGTGGCCTCATCGGCCAGCAGGATTTTGTAGTGGTCAACCGTGGCGCCGGACAGGCCCGCCGCCGTGCCCTTTTTGGCCGTGCGGAGGGCGTCCGCTACGGCGGCGGCATCGAGCCGGATAGCGGCCGCCGGCAGACAGGGCGGCGGCGGAAGCGGCCTTCGAGGCTGCGGCGGGCGGCGGTCCGGGTCGGACAAGGCGGCCAGGGTTGCTTCATCGCCCGGGGCCAGCGAGGCTGAAGTGAGTGTCCGCCGCGTGCGGGACAAGTCGCCCTGCCGGACCTGGGCGCACGCACGCGCACGCAGCTGCGCCGACGTGGGCAGCTCCGA